TTTTTTTTTTTTGGTATTGCAACGAGAATTTTGTTTTATAATTTGAATTGGATTTTTTTATTAATTTTTTTTATTTGGAAGTTAGGTTGGATGTTAATTAATTTAGAGTTAAATTAGATCAGAGTCGATAAAAAAAAAGTTTTTTTAATATTTATCTTTTTATTCACAATATTGAAATGTAAAATTTTATTTAAAAAAAATCAAGTTTCTTCTTTTTAGATCAATAGTTGTTGGTTATAATATAAAATTATATCAAATTGTAAAATATAAACTATTAGAAAGGGGAGAGCCTTAATTTCAAGAGTCCAAACTCTCATTCAATAATACAGATTGCACAACCCCTTTTTCATTTTGAAAAGAGAGTCAAGTTGTAGTTTGAATTATATTGTATTGTGAAATAAAAATCAATAAATAAAAAATAACTTTTAATATCAAGAGACCTTACACCACTTAATAATTTAAATTATACAGTTCAATACAGTTTAAATTCCCTAATAGTTTTCTATTGTGAACAATTATTTAAAAAAATGAATACAGCTACCTTTATTTACATTAGTTGCCCCTCAAACTTTTATCCATTTAGCAGAAAGGTTCATAAGTAATTTCCGAGTCAATGTGAGAATTTTTTGCCATCAAAATTCACCTCTCTCTCAACATATGAACTTCAACAATATCCTCTGTTCACATGTGAATCTACTGATCAACTCTCCGTAAGTGCATCTGCAAGCCACTCCAGAGAACCGTTCACCAAGCATGCTCCATAGGTGCCAAAGGCAAACCCATCTCCCCCCCGCACCTTAAGACGGTATCTTGCAAAACTTTTAAATGGTCAGACCACCTTCTATCGCTCATGAGTATCCGCACTTACCATGCCGGGCCGGCGGGCCCACGGGTCCAAGATCTATAACCATGAGTTTTGAACCATTATCACTTAATGGAGAGACTGGACCAGCAGGAGTGCACATCAAAGCCCAACACATACGAAAAGATACCCTTTTAAACCCAAAAAGGCTTAACATGTTAAGTTCCTATGTCTTGACACGTGTACTCTTTACTCTCTTTACATTTTGCTTTTTGTTTAAGCCTTGTTTTTAAGAGGTTATTTACTCTACTTTTCAACTAGATTCAATTTCTTAGGAAGAAAGTAATTAGCAATAAATTTTTAGTTTGACTTGAGGTAAATGATCTGTCCCTCTTTTATTAAATGATGAATATCCCTAACCCCTATACTAAAGAAAAGTATAAAACAAATTGGTAATTTAGGTGAGTAGATGTATCAATGTATCATGAGCACACCAAACTCTAAATCCTGTATTTTAATGTGGCAGAGAGTTTCAGTTGAAGCAATTATTGGTGTTGCCAAACCCATGATAAAAATGTAACAAGAGCATTTCACAAATAAGACATTGATAATGACATTTCATCCAAATCAAAACAGAAAGCCTTCAATTTCAAATTAAGGTTTCAATACTTAATATATGTAATGATTTGTCTA